GTTATGATTTGAAATATTCAACCTCACATAATTCTTAGCAAATACATACTGTGACTCTAATTCTCTTTATTCACTGCCAACAAGCAGGTTATGTGGAATTCAAAGTGAACTTGATCTAAATCAAATATGACTTTGATTTGTGTTTGGTTTTAACATCCTGCAGATGCTGGATGAGCAGCACGTTCCCACACAGGCTTGTAGTCAGCTACATCACCACTGTGGCCTTCCCGTGCCTGGTGATCCTGTGCAATTCTTGCATGCTGGGGCTGGTGGTGTTTAAGCTCTGGCGGCTAAGGGAAGGGAGTGAAGGCACTAAAAGCTTGAAGAAGATGAACGGAGAGAAAGGGACTAGGTTATGGAAGGACTGTGCCACATTACTAGGCCTCAGCTGTATGCTGGGTTTACCTTGGGGATTAGCGAGCGCCACCTACATGTCCCTCCCTGGGATCTATGTTTTCACTATACTAAACTCCCTGCAGGGTCAGTATGTGCATCATCCTCATATAAAGCATGCACTGTGCCTTTATGATTTGCTGGAAGTATTCACAGCCTTTCTTTTTTTTCTTCTCAGGGGTATGCGTGTTCTTCTGGTCTGTGGCTTTGACCTGCAAGTCTCGATCTGACAGTAACTCCTCAGTCGGAGACCCCTCCTCTCAGAAAATGATGACAACCAGTTTCAATAACTGATATTCACAGCTCACAGAAATATATTACCCATTTCCTATATTAGGTGTTAACTAGACTCCAGCAATGTGCAGTTAAATTATAACTAACAATAACTTTATTTGTTAATGTCTTGCAACTCCTTTAAATAACTATTGCAAATAAAAGCATGCATCAATTGTGATTGTTATGGTTACAGTACTATCAGGTATGGACAGATGGCAAATACTTTTTTGGCTTTTTTTAATAAGCTTCCTCCATTTCAAAGGAAGAACAATAGGCTACACATTACATTCAGGTTATATTCTTCTCCGTTTCAAATTATAAAAAAGAAACTTTTAGAAATTTGACCTCAATCTTGTTCTCTGTTAATGCACAATTTGACCATTAAATGGATTAATAAATAGAAATGAGATTAGATTAGATTTGAATAAGATCCATACATCTATGCATAACATAGAATAAATGGGTAAACAGACGGATGGATGGATGGATGCATGGCTTCAAATAAACTTCAACAAATCAAGTGATGTACTGCAGTAGTAACACGTAATGCACTATTACAAAGAAAAATTAAACAAAGAGTAGCTCAGTAATCATCAAGGACATAACTTGACTTTATGTTTGAGTACTGATTTCCAACTAGTGTTTGTACCCCAGTGGGTGTTTCTGCAGTTGTCAAGGAATTCATGGGAAGATCAAACAGTAGCTCAACTATTAAAAAACAAACAGAAATATTACTTTTTTGTATCCATAGCTGTTAACAGCTGAACAACATGCATTGCCTGAGAGTCTGTGAAAACTATGGGAAGTTAGTCTAAACAGTTAGCTAAAAATAAGGGATAGATGTTTAAAAATAACATAGATAAAATAATGAATAAACAGTTCAAAAAGTTAGCTAATAAAAGCTTAAAAAAGTATTGGCTATAGTTAAAATAATTAACAAAAAATACAAGGTACAAGCTTGTTTATTAGTCACTATACAGCGCAAGGCTGCATAACGAAACTAAATTTGTAGTTCCTTCATGCTAAACACACAATATATAATTAAGTGTAGGCCTATATTAAAATATGGTAACATATAAAATAAAATTAAACAATATATGGGCCTACAGTTATTTATATACAGACATGTAAACACCCCGAACATTCCACAGTGCATTTTTTTTATTTGCATCTGCGGTGAATGCAAACAGCAGCAACCAGATGATAATATAAAGGTTTTATCTCCACAATAAACAGTCTAACATTTAGGAAACAGAGTCCATCTTGACTGCGTTTGTGCACTAAGCATCATCAATGTAAGTGAGTTCACCTCCTCTCATCTTGCCGGAGTCTTGCGCCGACAGCTCAGAACATGGACCACCTGCCGAGCGCTTGATCATCTGACCACCTGTGGATGTTGATGGGACAGGTCTCTGTAATGATATGAATTCCATTGTCTGGTCAATATGAGTCCCATTTTGTCTAGACCGGATCTTTAGGAGCAGAATCAAGTCCAAACTGGGCCAGCATGGCTCCTTTCCTGGCTCTTTCCTCTCCTCTGAGTGATCATCGCACCCGCCGTGGTGCCTGGTCCGGCTGTGTGGCCCGGGTGGATTGTGGTCCGCTGCTCTTTAATCCCGTCTTCATCTTCCAATGACTGTATTTATGTCAGAGGTAACACGTGTTTTGACAAGCGAGGTGGAAAAAAACAGATAAAAACAAAAGTGTGGCAAAGTTTGAAGGAGCTACCGGCTGCTGCTTCTACAGGCACTGCCGGTTGCCATAGCAACATGCTAAGTAATGGATAAATGGGTGAAATGGTTAGCTAAAAGTAGCTAATGGATAAATTGGTAAAATGTTGATTCTGCCACTAGTAGTACAAATGCAAACTTGACCAAACCAACCAAAACACTGATGATTGTATGAAAGAAATATTGCAACAATATCCCCATTTACAGTTAATAGTGTTAAATAACATCCAGTTTAAAACCAAATGAAATTAACACATTTGGAACATGATGGGTGGTGCTGATGAGGTATACCGAAGTTTAGCTCATGGGGCAGTGAGGATGTGTCGTTGGGAACAACTGACTTAAATGACAGGAAATCATTTCTGGAAAAAGAAAAAAGACTGATTCAATTCGTCTTACGGACAACAGAGATTCTGAGAGGAGCAGAATTGTCACCACCGTCGTTGAAACAGGGACTGAGGAACGGGTAGAGTTTTTCGGTGAAGGAGATGCCAGTGAAGGAGTAGATCATGTCTTAAAAGGCATCAACGTCATAAAAGGAGACCAGACCTTCCTCATAATCCACAAACACTCCCACCTTCTGAGGCTGCGATTTCAGAGAGAGGACGACATCAGGGTCGGTGAGAGCCACGTACTCATTTCCATTCCTCAGCTGCAGAGACCAGTAACCAGCCTCCGGGCTTGATATGATTGGTCCTTCTCTGTTGGCCGAAACACTGACCACTCCTGAAACCCACTTAGTTTTCCCTTTAACCTCGACCTCATAGTAGAATCTGCCAGAAGAGAAACTCTGCTTTCCCAAGACAATGACACAATATTAAAATCTCTCGGGATTGTGTGGGACATTCCTCTCCACACCACTGTGATTTACTTGTCTCTCATCATCAGACAGAACGAGTTTAGGATGTGCTGTGTCAGGATCAAGAGCCACATCCACAGCATACTGTTGCACCCTCTGTAGCTCAGCTTTAAGCACAGGGTAGCACTGTCTACCCTGGATCATCTGCTGAAGTTCTGCTTCTGTCTTCCCCATTTCTGTCTTCTTTCTTTCGAATTTTCATTTAAGAGGAACGACGTCATGCGACTCATGGTCTGACTCAGAACAAAACAGCTCAATCAGTTCATTATGCTGTGTACACATCCTGTTTTCTAGGTTTTCAAGAGGCTCAATGAGTTTATGCCTTTTTTAGGCCAGAAACTGTCTGAACTGGGCAGCCATTTCAGATACGAAAGTATTGACACACACAGGGCACTGGTATTTACTGTTAATTCTGCAGTTTTCAGTGATGCAGTTTTTGCAGAAGTTGTGTCACACGGTATGGTGACAGGAGTGGTGAACACATCAAAGCAGATGGAGCACAGAAAGTGTTCTTCAGACAGCAGACAGGTGGCAGCTGACATGTTGAACACACTACGGCCAAATGTAAAGATATAACAACGTCAGTAATGACTTCTTGAATATGGGTTTGATAAATATTAAGTTTAGATTATTAGAATATTAGCTAAAGTTATTTGGAATTACTATCTTTCAGAAATATTCATTTGTCAAGGGAAATGATCCGAGTAAATGCGTACTTACCTGTGTAGAAAATAGTATTATTATTAAAATGCTGGAAGAACCAAGATTCAGTTTTTCTACCTTGGGACAGGGACTTATACTGAGTGTAGCCTGCTGTCACTAGGAAACCTCTAACTACACTGAGGGGATGAGACTCTTTCAGCGTGACTCCACCTCCTCATACATATAAACTGGTGATGTGACTACACCCAGAGCAAGCAGCCAACTGTCTTTATAATGACCAGTTCTGAAGGCACATAGCCCTCCTGGCATGCACAGTATGTGTACAAAGCATGATAACACTGCTGGAGCCGTTCAGCAAGCCCGACCAGATGTGTGTTCATCAGTTAATTCAGACCCCCAATCACAATACATTGTTCTACTGAAAGAACGGAACAAAGGAAAGAAGCCAATTTAGTGTCAAGAGTGTGCAATCAATTTAGAATAATTTATTTACACTAAATATTTAATATAAATTGTTTATCTTCTGCTAAGTAATTGTACTTGTTATATTGACTTAAAGTGTTAATTTATAACTGAACATTCTAAATTGATTTTAAAAACAGCTTTGAAAAGGGTTGTTTCTTTTCTATAATTTTTAAAATATATTCCCACCACTAATGTTTGTTTGTTTGATGGCCACTGGCCAGTCAAAGGTTACTGCTGTAGCTGCTCTGTAGGCTGCACTTCCTTTAAGGCACAAACGGTTGAAGACAAATACCATATGGTTTTACTGAATAATTAAGTAAATATAGAGCAACAGGGATTTTATTTATGTCAAAATGACATTGCAGGAGGAATTCAACACCACCTACTTTTTCAAAAATAAATTCTGGAATAAAGTACCATAGTTTATCCTTTCCTTGGATGTCATTTTTAATCCACTTGACCTTGAATGTAGTGTACAAAAATATAATACATTTAGATTAGATAGCGTTTTCAATCAATGGATATGACATGACTCCCTACCTCCCGGCCTGCGCCGCTCCAAGTATATCCGTGCAGTGACGTTTGTGGCACCCGGAAATAAAGGCGGAGTTGAGAGCTCTCCAAGTGATCCAGACAAACCAGACCAACTCAGACAGAGGGACGACATGGATCCAAACACGACGATTCTGCGAGTCAAGAGAAAAAGGGGGACCGATCCCGCAGACGCTTTGTTGCTGGCGTGCAAACGTATCCGTCCAGAGACGTCCCAGAGCTCAGGCGAAACGGTACCGGAGCCCAACGAAGCCGAGGTGGAAAACTCTGTCTTCAAACTCGTGGCGACCGTAGCGACACAGGTGAGAGGCCCGCTGCTGCTGGCACGGTGTTAGCTAGCCGAGCTATGCCAACGCAGCTGGCGGTGGAAACGGCGAACACACAATAGTTTGCGTCTCGGTATAAACTTAGCGATTTTGAACGGTTGACTGGCTGAAGATTTTATGAAATTAGCTCCTTGAAATAATGGGAAAACAATGCGCCGTCTGTGGCAGTTGTTGTTAGCATAGCACTCAGGCTAGTCAGCGTTATTGGCCAACGTTAGCCCACACTTCGTTAGCCCACACTTCGTTAGCCTGTGGCGTCAGTTAGCTCATTTTGTTGATGTTGTGACGTGTTTTCAGGCCTCGGAGATGATTTGACTTCATCCAAAAACAAAGCCGTCGTGGCTCTAACGTTATTTAAGTAGTTACAATGTTAAACATTTCAGTAACATAACACGCAACATAATTATCTTAGCTGTTAAACATATTTTGGTATATTATTTTACAGCCTTCACTTTTTTGACTAATGTTATTTACAAGCGAATTTGGCTGGTTTCTACCTGCCTTTATTTAAATAACGTTTGTTAGATGCTGTAAATGTGTTTCTGTTCGCTGTGACATTTTGAGAAGGCCTCTGTTTTTCAGTGTGTTTGGGTTTGAAAGTGGCGACGCGTTTCTAAGGATTGTCTTGTGCATACTTAACGTTATTATCCTTCAAATTAAAGCCAGATATCTTCTCATATCCATGTAAGAGCCCTAAAGATTCTCGCCGTTTGTCATCTCCTCACCAGGATGCTCCAGTTCAGACACACGTTAGACAGGCTTTGGCTCGGCCTCGCATGGCCCACGCTCTGCGACCCTCTGCTGCCAGTTCACAACGGATAATTGGGGACCTACGGAGCACGAAGTTGAGCACCAGGAGGGAGGAACGCTACAGAATACTCTCTAACCACCGCACAGGCCTGGCAAGCCCAGCTGAGCAGCAAAACCCCCAGACAGATGCTTCTGAGGGCGTGGAGCAAACTGGGAAAGAGAAGGACAAATGTTGGGCTGTCGGTGAAATCCAGGTGGTTGATCTCATACATGAGACTGTAGAGGAACAGGACAAGTCTGTTGGAAAGGTGAGTTGAGTATTACTGTAGCTGGTTAGAGATGAGCCTATTTATTTTTTTAGGATTTTGTCTGTAATGGAATCAATTACCATACTAGTAAGAGAGACCAGATATCCGGCATTTTGAGATAATCACATCGGTCATACCAGCACTCACGAGGCTGGTATACAAAAAATGTCTGTAGACACAGCTGCAGGAGCCTGGTCAGTGTGGCTGTGGAACTATGTTAGCATTCTCTCATCTGCGTTTTGGGATGGCGGCCCCTAAATTCCCTAAGTCACCATCATCTTTTCTAAATGTCCCGTCCATAATGACAGGAAATCTAATCTTAAACAATGATTGACTTGTGTCAAATATGTATTATACTGTGGAGAATGATGCAGCTGAATGACGTCACTTCTGACAAACTGTACCCCTTCAGCACCGGTCATAGTCTGAAATCTATAGCATTACCAAATGTATTTTTCTACTTTATTAATAATGAATAAAACTTCCATAGATAATCACTTATGTCAGATTGTGCTCTGCGTGGAATAATGGAATTATTGATGACTTTTCTTTGTTTTGACATCGGCATTAAATATCGTGCATCAGCCACCCTGCTCTCTAAATATCTGTTTCGGCCATTGAAAAACCCATATCGATTGATCACTATACCAGTCTGCTTACTGAAATTGATTCTTATGAATAGTCCAATTAACAATATAACCATAATTATGAGTAAAACCTGCCCAGAAATGTTGTGACTTTCAAAAAACAGAAACTTTTCAATTGTACAATCAGTGCGGTGTAAAACAAAGGAACATAGCAGAGAGAATGACATTCTAATGTGTGGCCACATTTTGATTTCATCGCAATATAATTTTCCACTTACAATTTATCGATTTAATTCTAAAAAGCTTCAATGCTTTATTTAATCCATTCAACTGTTAGGGGTGTGCGTCTTCACTGGTGTCATGATTCGATTACGGTTATCCCGTCTTCGATTCATCACCTCAGGGGTGGGAATTTCAAGGCACCTCCTTACGATTATGAGTGCTACGATGCGAATGTAAAACGAATAGGCTAAAGATGTATTTTTCTCACTGTGTGACTACTTGGTACTTTTAAAGCAAAGTATTTGTAACAATCCAAACGAGTAGGTAGTAATGAAGTGCAGATATTTAATGTTACTTCATATAAATGTAACATTGCTTAGCATTATTACACTATAACAGCATTATTACTGACCTCTGCTGCTGCTATTTTTATTTCTGATGCTGCTGTTATGTATTAGTATAGAGTCAGATGGGGGTTGAACTATGCATTTTACAACACTCCAGCCAAACTACGTTCACTCCATTTTAATATATGTTCCTTTTTTTTTTTTTTTTTTCTAGTGTAGTTACGTGTTTGTGTTTTGTAAGTTGATTATTGTAATCTTGTATTGAACACCATGGGCCAAAAGACGTCCTGCTCAGCTTCCAGACCGCAGTCTGAAGAGGAGATGTTAGCTGATGTTAGCTAATGTTAGCACTAACTGCCTTCACTTTTCCAGAAGTTGGAAAATCATAGACAGACTTTAACACACATCAGCGTGACCTACACTGTACATTTACAGCCAGACTGCAACGTATCACTCGTATTTTCCTCTGCTTCGCTGTTTTCACCGTCCCTTGCTGCTTCTGTGCTGCAGTATACGGTGAAATGCATTGATTTTATTGATCATGTGAAAGTTTAGTAGCAGTAGTCGTTTATTCAACAGCGGTCTGTCTGTGCCGAACAGGGAGAACCACATGGGTCCGGAGCTGCACTTCCATGTTTACTTTTTCGGTCCGTCAACATTACGTTATCAATTAAGCCATAGATAATCGATTATTGACATTTGTGAATCGATTCTGACTCGTCCAAGTCTGCGTCACAATGCATCTAAAAATCTATTAATTTCCACACCCCTAGTAACTTTATAGCCACTGTTTTGCACAGACAATTATTTCTGTCGCATGTTGCGCTGACGCTGATTGTAATGGTGCTGTTTGCAAAATGGAGGAAGAGCGAGAGAAAACAGCAAGGGATGAAGAAGGAAGTGTCCAAAGTATGGGATAATGGGATTTGAAACAAAAAGGAAAAACAAAAGTACTTATACTAGTATATCCTGTAAAGTACTCGATGAATCGATGAAATGATCTATAGAACAATTGATTTGCTAAAATCAATGTTAGCTGTAGCCCTAAATATAATAAATCTTTACTTTAATTTATTTGAATTACAAATTTATCAGCACTTAATTTTCCTATTTAGATACTTATTTTGTTGAGGAAAAGGGACTGAAAAAGGATTTCACTTTAATTTTACTCGCACATATTTATTGAAAAAAGATTATCATTTTAATTATTTTGAGTGTTCTACCTCAGATTTGTGAAGTGGTCCAGTGTTCGGCATCAAGTGTTAGTACTGATCATGAAGAAAAGTTTCTTCAACTTTCAGTCAGGAGCAAAAATCAGCCTTTAAACTTGAAAGAATTAATGATTTGACATTTATCGGGATAATTATCCTACAAACCGTCCAGCACTTACCAAACCAGCTAAACCAGCCAACATTAATTTGCTTATCTTACTGACCACTCAACTGAATGTTTTCTTTACTTCTATCACCAAATGCTTTCAGCAGAAGACAGTAAATATAATTTAATAGCTTAATAATTTTAAATGCTGTTCAAGCACAAAGCATAGTTCTGTGTGGTTTCGACATAAGGACACAAATAATCCTTATTGTATGATGTCAACTGCCTTTGTTAATCTGTCGTTAACAATGCAAGGCATTAGTCATCATTGCTAAATTTATTTTCACACTGTTTTTGTAAAGACACTGTCCTCAGACCCAGAAGTGATCCTGTGTAACAACACCAAGCTGCTGCGGGAGCGTCTGAGCATATCTGGAGACAGACTGTCGGAGGAGCAGCAAGACACAGACTACGTCTACGATGTGTACTACCAGGAAACTGTCGCATCAGGTTGGATCGAGGACATCGTGTCTGTCAGGGTCTACGCCGATGAGGGAGAACTGGTGTGTGTGGATGGATGGACGGACAGATGAATGAGTGCTTAAATCTGAGTGAGTGAATGTAGACATGGGGAAATTTGTAGCTGGATAAACTAACAAGAGTGAGCTGCCATCTGCTGGTTTTGACTATATTACAGGCCTTTGCTAACTGTAAATTTTGCCCCTGCTGTTAAGCTTTTATGTTTAGCTTATATTTGCTTTCTAAACTCAAGCTGTGGCGCTGAATCGAAACGCGCGTTAGGCCAATCACTAACGTATGAACTAGTTTTGCCACACGTAGCTATTCTGATGTGGCAGAAAAGCCAAAACAGTAAACACAGGTAAATTTTGCAAATATATTATTCATATGTGCTCAGAAGAGTGGAACAAAGTGTTCTGGTGTATAGCTTGCATCATAAAGCTGGCTTTATTTTAACGTTATTATAATACTAATAAACAATTTCTCCCAAGACACTAAAAGCAATAATGACTTGTCACAATTATGTCATAATGAGGCTGTCAGGTAATAGGTGGTTGTTTATCCCAGGTGCCTGACTGTGTGGTTCATGAAGAGGAAGTGTATGACGATGAGGATGATGAAAATGAGGAAGGTAACTGGAGGAATGACTACCCTGATGAGGACAGTGATGCAGACAGTGACAGAGAGGAGCGCTATGGTGGTAGGTATTTACGTATTATTGTTAGTCATAAGTCACTTAAGTCTATTTACTTTGGTCATTTGGCAGGTATTAGTTTTCACGTCAAGTATTTTTCAGTTTAATCAGTGGGACAAAAGCTGAAATGACACCCCAAGTGTGTTTTGAATGGCATTGACAGCCACAATGACAGCTGACTCAAAAGTAAGGCTGACCTAGTGTTTTTGTGACACCGATCTGAAATTGGGCATGACCTTTTATGGCTTCTGAAGGAGGGCATGACAAAAAACGCTTTCTTATTGTGTATCCTAGAAGTGGTTAAATTAATCGCCAACTATTTCAATAATCAGTTTCAGTAACTTAAGAAAATAAAAAAATTCAGATTCCAGCTTCTTAAATGTGAATATTTTCTGGTTTCTTCACTCCAATGACGGTGAACTGAATATCTTAGGTTGTGAACCAAATAAGACATTTGAGGACGTTATCTACCAATCAACATTTTTTTTTTTAACACTTTCTGACATTTGTATTAACTAAACAACTAATTGATCCAAGTAATGAACAATTAAAATAATTGTTACCACTGTTGCGCGATTAGGAATGTGACTTGGGTGTGACAACTGATATGACCTTGTAGGACAAGGTCTGTTCCTGTGTGGGACACTGTTGAAATAAAATTAGAACCTTTTGTGAAATATAAATGTTATGTAAATGTTCTCAAACTGTTCCCATAAGTTGTTAGGAATAATTGGGCTATTCCAGAATTCACACGCATGTTGGGGCGACACAATGAATGTAAGTCACTTTTAAGAACTCGTCACTTAAAACACCAGATTAATATATTTAATGCACTCAGTGTTCCAAACATCGTTGTAACTTAACATAAAGCAACAAAACGAAAAATCCATTCATTCTGTAAAAGGTGCTCAAATAGTGGTTGAAAGACTATCTCAGCATTTAGGCTATTGAAAACTCCCCACATTACCTGCGCCCACACATAAAACTAACTTAATTTCAATGAACTCATTTATTTTAATGGCTGCGTCAGACTGTGTGAAACGGACTTGAGAGCAAATTAAAAAAAATAATAATAATGTAAAACGCATTTCAAGTCTGTAAGTAGGCTTACAGTCATCTTAAAAGCCTATAACAAGTAGTAGTCAATCAGTCCCTGTAGGATGATATCGCTATACAAAGCTTTCTCTGCATTAAACATAAGCAGCCTATAAAACAGCCTGTGGGATCTGCTAAGGATGGTGATGTCATTTCCCAAAAGAGCTGATTAGCCATAAATTATGATGGTGATCTACTCCGGTAAGAAGTGAACCACCGTTGTGGTACTGTAAACCCAGGGTTAACCCCAAAGTTACCTCGCTAAACTCAAATCCTGCTTCGTGGTACATGCCCTGGCTGCTGTCCGTGTTTTTAGTACAAGAGCACGTAACCATTTGTCAGATAAGTACAGACTTATCGCATCCTCCTAGAAGACTTGACATTTCCAAGATCATTCAATATGATTAATTTCTAATGGATCAGTGTGTGTCTAAAGAGACCACATTGACTGCTTTTAATTATTGCAGCACCAACATCTTTGAAAGTGTCGAACTGTGATGAGCAGCTGTCATTCATTGGCTGTTGTGTCTCGTGTATGCAGGTTACTGGGAGGAGGAGCACTCGTACAGCCGGAGAAACTGGCAGCGCTACCAGAGGGAAGTGCTGCATGAGCTGGGCTGCCGTGGGGAAGATGAAGCGGAGGCGGCGGATGATGATGATGATGCAGACAAATATTGTTCTGATTGAGCTGTCCTTTAACCCACACCTGTCAGTGGATCTTCCCCATGCCCCCTTTACATTAACCCCATGCTCCATAGACCTCTGTGTAGGTGAGAGTGGAGGACAACAAGACTGGCACATAGAAACAGAAAATATGCCTGAAATATGTGCTTCAAGAAATCCCACCGCAGCAGTGTAGCAATTTATGTGTAGCACTTATCAGATATAATGAGTGACTGAAAAAACATCCTGTTCTTACATCAACACCAGTGACGATACCCTAAATGTTAAATGTCTTGAGTCACAAAGTTTATCGACCACTAATGGTTCAGAAAGCCTCAGCGCTCTTCGGGTGTAATGCAGCCCTCTCTACTACACAGATGAAAATGGAGTAGGTGTTATTTCCAGCTCCAGAGTGTGGTTTTTTTTTTTTCTCCCTTCTTTTTAATATATAACTATGGTGGAGTGAATGTGTGGGTGTGTTTGTTCTAAGTGTGTGTGTGTTAGAAATGTTGCATATTAGTGTTAAGTGCCTGGTATGCTTTGTGCCGTTAACACTTCTGTTAGTGAGACGTCTTGGGCCGCGTGTGGTTGCAATTTAGGGTGTTTGCATTTTGTGCATGGTAGCGCGTGTGTGTGGGTATAATTGTGCGTGTTAAGAGTTCTGCATAATGTGAAAGCGTGCATCATTGTTGTGGTGTGTGTGTGTGTGTGTTTTGAGTTTGGTTCAGAAATTCCCCATTGAAGTTGATCGTTTCTCTTGGATGCTTGTTGAAGTTAACCTCTTTTTGTAAATATGTAGATGTGTATAAAAAGAGCTTTCAAAATAAACACCTTTGTCCTGAATGACACTCACACACTACTCACAAGAAATCGGTAAGAACAACCTACCTAGATGACAAGTTTGAACACTGAACCTGGCCATCTCAAACAAAGTATGCAGTCCAGTGATCCACAACACAAGAGTAAAATTGAGTTTTGTCTTAAACACAGGAAGGGAAACAAACCGGAAAAGACTCAGCATGCCTGTTGTGGCTGGAGGTGTTGATCTGATTAGTTTCTTTGCTCAGTTATTTTCCTGAGACAACGAGGTGTGTGTTTTTTTTTTTTTTTAAATTAGGCCATTGTCAACAGTTGGGGAAAGTTTTAAATGTAAGGTCACAGTCTTGGAAATGAAACTCTGTTATCCAGAATACAGGAAAAGCTCACCTGGTAGTGGGTCCAAGCAGACAGGCGGCAGACACCAGAGGAAGGGTTGAAGAGTTTGAAAGAAAGCTTTTAATAGACACAGCTTAACTGCTCCATCTCCAAAACTGCCTGCACAGTTTGTCTCTCTCCATTTAACAAACAGCAGTGATTCCGTCAAATCTTCAGTTCCCTTAATATTCAACATGACTTATTATCTACATCAAATTGTATTTAAATCATTCATTGTAAATTAATTTAAAACTTTAAAAATGATTATTCCATTTACACTCTGAAAACTTATTGCAAGCATTCCAGGCAGTGATTCAGAGATGCAGTACAGTATGTTTGGGGTGAGGTATAGTTTACCTGAGACCGTTTAGAGGTAATTTGTGAATGCTACACAACTGGAATTACAGATGGAACACTACAACGGATACAGAAATTGCTGTTTTGTTGTTGCCTTGAAGACAGCACGCTGAACGTTAAAGAGTTGAGAAATTGATTTAGTGCTATAAACATAAAGAACAGGAAGTCTACAGCTTCCTACAACGACGGAGTGGATTCAGCAGACAGGTAACCAACCTCAGGCTTGAAACGTTCACATTTTTCCTATTTAACAAAATGGCATTAAATACACCAAATGAGGGGGAAAAATGGTTAAAATGCAAAAACAAAAATTAGACAATGGCCCCAAAAGTACAAAAAGGCAATGCAGTTAGGACGATGACTGTAAAACTTCATGTAGCAGCAGACAAAACACATTTTCTTCCCTTTTTTTCCATTTAGGAAGTGAGTATGACAGACCTGTTCTGACACTCGGGAGCCCATTCACACATTCTGCATATAATATCTGTCAGTTAAAGTCAGTTCTATCCATGTAATATTTGCTATAATATTTGCTGATACAAACACTCACTACAAAGGAAAAGGGCCTGTGAGTGCTGTTCATATTGAATAAACAAAAGAGGACTTAAAGAAAACAAGGCCAGAAACCAAAATAAAAATAAAACCTCAGTTAAAACCGCACCTCATTCACCCATTACCAGAAGTTACAGTGTGGCCCAGTCCCCAGGTAGCTAAGTAGTGTCTGGTTCTAATTTCACAATCAACTGGATCGCTAGCAATCTTATACACCAGGGGTTTTCAGAGTCTGAGACTGTAGGCCTCCCCTCAGACAAAGCTTGGTAAGGCACCCCTCTGTAGTTTACTTAAATTCCTGGACACCTATGGGATTGTGATCATGTTATTTACCTAATAAGACCATAATACCGCTGTTTGACACAACTTCAGACTACACCAAATACACAACAAAGGTCTGCCCTAGGGCATTTATTAGTTTCTGACTCTGGGAAAGTGAGAAAGACAATAAACTTCCCCAAAGCCGCTGTATCTCTCTTTAACCAAGTCTATTCTATGTGATCTCCTTTATATGATAACTAATGTGATATTTTTTTCACTTCTATTCCCTGTGACTCTCCTGAAACAGGTCTGGAACCGGGAACATGCACACAAGAACACTAAAAAGGGTTAGACACATGGGGAGGGTGTTGGCTGCGGCCATAAAAAGGTCCCTTTGGTCATGTGCAGCACCTGTAAAATCTCACAGGCACATAAAGGCATAATACATTAACCTGTAGAGCTAACAAGGCAAATCTAAGTAATTAAATAATTTGATGAAGGAATTAAACTGTAACAATATCCACAATATGCAGTATAACAGCACTGTCTTCTCCTTGAATGTCCTTGAACTCCAGCATATATCTGCAAGTGAACGTGTGCATAGTGTGGCAGCATTTTCAGTGTTGTAAACAGGTCAGTGAAGTCCAAACGCTTCAACATGGCGTACAGTACAATAAGAGAATCACAAAAGAATCCCTTGTCTGATGCTCACTTGCAGAGACTGCTGGGTAAAGTGTACTGGATGCTATTCACTTTTGTCGGCCTCTGTCAGCACACAGTAGCAGCTGTACTGGGTCCAGTGAGTCAGAGAACCTGCAGTGGGAGACAACAACATGTTAGCCCCTGTTGAGCCTACGACTCCGGCAAAGGTGAGGAGGGAGGCGGCGGAATTGACCGGATGCGTGGTGAACTCACGCAGTAGCTTGGTGATCACAGGCGGCCGTTTGGACTCTGGTAGGTAGACACCCAGGAAGTAGACGGGGACCCCTGACATGGCAATGGCAATGCCGATCAGAGAGTTGAAGGTGTCGCTGTAGAGAGGAACTGCCACCAGGAAAACAGCACATAGACAGAACACCACCGGGTACACCATAGACAGCTGCAGAGAGAGGAAATAGTGGGGACACTGTCAGCCAGCCACAAATCCTGTTGTTATCCTCACCAGTTGAATAAGATAATTTCAAAAGACATATTCAAATAAATTATAATATAAAAATGTACAACAAGCTGCTAGAAAAAGGTACAGACTGATGTTACAGTCAGTCTAAAGCCGATCACTTTGGTAATAATTATGCCAACAGGAAGGTTTTTTACACTAATCTTCCTGCACTTAATTCATTAAACGTTAGTGGCATTAAATAAAATACAGCATATACGGTAATGCAATAGCAATAAGTCTATTTACCTATCTCCTTATTTTTAGTTTACCAAAGTTGAGCTTTTCCGTCTGTTTACAATACAGAGCTTATCCACGATCCATCAGCTTGGCCGATATGAATAAGGAAATAACCAGTTTTTTAATGTGCACCATTTGTTTTTAAAAATTCATTCAATAATTCAGCTGCATATTTAAATAGATCACCGAGGACAAGCCTGCATTATCTGTCATAAAAAAAAAAACATAAAAGGAACACTCCCAGTACGTACATATTCTTCAGCAACAAACAAAACAAGCACACAAATGACACCAACAAAGAACCAGCAGCTGCAAAGTAATCAACAGTGTCTATAGGAAATGCATTGGTCATATTTGCTACGACCCGCATAAGCGGCAGAAAATGGACGGATGCACGCATTGGGATTACACAGGTGTGTTTAATTGGACTTACCTTGAGAGGTCTGGGTCTGTCGGGCTCTTTCCAGCGGAGGTAGATCTGCCCGGCGACGGACAGACCCATGAAGAACCAGTAGCTAAAGCTGTAGTAGTTGATGAGCTGGAAGACATCCTCCACTGTCAGGTAGATCAGTGACATCACACACTGCACAGTCGACGGAGGAAGAAAGGGAGGATGAAAACAAACAGATACAGATGTTAATGAATGTTGAAAGTATTCACTGCAATATGATTTTTTCCTTTTCTTTGAATGGAAAATAAGTTTAGCATCAAATAAAAACAAATATTTAGAATGCTTTCCAACATATATAACTAAAATACAATGAAGGAGACTAGTAAATGAGAAGTCTCCTGTACTTCCTCTACTATACAGTAATCGATCCAATTTCGTACATTGAAGATCAGAGCAGGGATCGGTGTGAATCTCTGTATGTGGATCATGGACAGAGCGTCTGGAAGGTGACCCTCGCGAGAGCCCACGAAGAACAACCTGAACACAACAAACGTAAATTAAGACGGATAACACAACACACCGTGCAAAGTGCGGCCTTTTACACTGGCCATATGAAAAGAGTAAATGATAACTACAAAATATCTACTGCAGATTTTTTGGCAGTGCTGCTCAAATCAGTGCGTGTTTGTGTTTGCGTTTGCGCGTGTTCTACCTGGATGCAGCTATAATGGAGGCGTTAAGGCCTCCATAGCAGGACAGAGCCACGGCAATGGGTATGGTCCAGCTCATCACACCGAGAGTGTGATCTGCAAATGTCTGAACCAGAGACAGAAACCGGTTTAGCGACTGCACTTTTTAACTCCTACGCGTGCATCTCATGCTCCATCTCACTGTTCTCTACTCACCACTGCCACTGCATCACTGGCCAGGATAGCACTGATGTCCATAACAGCATAGTAGGCCACATTGGTGAGGATGTAGATGATGGTGACAATGGGCATAGAGATGGCGATGGCCAGCGGCAGGTTCCTGGAACAACAGGACACTGCATCCTTACCAGGCTGATTCAAGTGTAAGTTTGTTTTTGAGTTTTGGTTTGATTTGTCCAATGTTCCACATAGACATCTTATTTAATTTAATAATTTGGTTTACTCTGATTAGTGTTTGGAAAGCTGCTCTGAACTGTTGGGTCTGACTAAATGTCCTTCTAATTGCATAAAATGGTCTACATGCTTTTGGTTTCATTGCGTTCACTGCCACTGCCCCGGGTTATCATAATATAGGGTGCGATCTAGGTGGGTGACTGATTAAAAATGAAATCTGGATTGCTGATATCAGGTCTTCTGTTGGAAGATCATGCTTTTAGATATGTTAAAGTTGTCGGGACCCAGTTCTGACAGTTCTGCTCCAGAAGGTCCAGGTGCTGCTGTAGTCCTTGTTATGTGGGTAACATCAACACCAGGCCATCAGCACAGAGCAGGGATTTAACTTACTGATTGTTAAAGGGGGGGTTCCAGATGGTTCCAACAGTACTGCTGGGTCCTTCATGTAGATGTTAAATCGAGTACATACTTATTTATTCCAGCATCCTTTGCACTATGCTTCATTGCACTGTGTACATGTGTTCATGTATGCATGTATATGTACCTGTATATCACATCCACCTCCGACATGTACATACTCCTGCATCCTTTGCACTCTGCTCACTGCACTATTTGTCAATATGTCTATATTGTTTTTGTTCATAGTGTGTGTATTTGTGTTGTCTACAATGAAGTCTGTGTCTGACTTTATGTCATTCTTATTATTGTGTTTTTGTATTTTTGTTTGATTAAGAACATCGTGAGCAATGTGCAATCCAGAGTCAAATTCCTCATACGTGTACACATACCTGGCAAATAAATCTGATTCTGATTCTGAGTTGGAGACAAGCTGTTGCCCTGAAAGACACCTCTCCCTGGAGTGATGAGATCTGTAGTTTTATCTTAGTACCCCGTACACCGATTTGGAGAATGCCTTCTTTTCTTTCATTGTAATTAAGTAATCTAGGATGTTGATTATTTTTGATTGTGACTGTTGTTTTTTCATCTGTTTTATTATGTGTTTGTATTCCCCCAGTTTTCAAACATAATTTTGTCTTCAAGTCTGTGTTTTGTGTGTTTTAGGTTGGACTGCTGTTTTATTTTCTTTCTGACATTTTTGCAGTGCTTGTTGTACCACTTTTCATTTGTCAGTGTCTGTTTAGATGCAGAGCTGTTCTTAGTAATACGTGCTTTACTGGCTGATTTATTATAATGTTATTTTTGTAACAGCCAAGTCTAATTGGTTTGGTTGAAACTGTATGTGGGTGTCTTCATCATCTCGATGTTTGTCATAATGTGACAATATCTTGACTCTTAATGTTAGAGATTAATTCTGGGTCTGGGCTCTTCAGTCCAAAGGCCAACCAGAACAGATCCTGAACGGCCCATGAACATCCCATTGACCTGGATTGATTGAAAGGGAAAAGTTACCTTTCAGGGTTTTTGATCTCCTCTGTCACAAAGTTGAGGGTGTCCCAGCCGGAATAGGAGAAGAGGGCAGAGTAGAGCGCCAGGGCAATGTTACCGGGGTCTGTAGACGATCCCTGAAAGGATGATTCAAAGTTGGTTGTGTAACCTAAGACAGAGACAAATCAGGGAAATCGTATAGCAGCCGTGTACAAAACAGTTCAATAATTTAAACTTTATATAAAATCTATCTGCTCGCTGCCGTTTGAGCCCACAGCATAGAAAAAACAATGTGACAAGGTGAATGTGGGAGAGCCACAACTCACCCTGGCACAGCTTGACGATGCCAGTGACGATGATGACGATGAGGGCTGCCACCTTGGCGTAGGTGAAAATGTCCTGCACGCGGGTGCCCCACTTCACATAGGCAGAGTTGATGAATGTCAGTAAGCCTGGGGAGAGAGGAGAGTTTTGAAGAGGTGTTCTTGGTATTGTGTCTGCAGGAACAGCTAGACACACGTGAGCGAGCAGCGGTGTGACTCAGAGAAGAAGAACTTACATATACACGCTGCAGCGAGGAGCCGGGCTGCTGCGTATGGAGGTTCGCATGTTGGAAAGAGCGGCTGCACCAGGTAGTTTGCAAAAGTGATGGCAATGACCGCCTGGCTGGTGGGCTCAATGATCAACAGAGAGGTCCACAGGCGAATGAATGCAATGAAGCCACCGAATGACTCCAGGATGTACGCATAAGACGCCCCTGATTTGGTGATGGTGGTGCCCAGCTCAGCGTAGCAGAGGGCCCCCACCACAGAAAACAGGCCCCCGATGACCCAGATGACTAGTGACAGCCCGTAAGAGGCGCTGTAGTTTAGCACACCCTTGGGGGAGACGAAGATGCCGGAGCCGATCATGTTTCCTACGATCAGGCTGACGCCGTTGAGCAGCGAGATCTCCTTCTTAAGCTGCATGCTCTCTTTGGGTGGCTCCAAACCAAGGGACGAGCGGTCGGCACTGCCGTTCAGCTGCTTGGATTTTTCACGGTCGGCCATGATGCCGTCGTCTCAGGGCTGAACCAGCCGGACCCGAGGACCGCCTGTGGACGCTACAGGCCCTTGTCCCTTTCTGGCAACCACTGGAACACCCTGTCCAACAGAGTCAGATATGTACCAAGTCATTTTTGGGGAAGGAACAGGGAGCTCAATGTCAAAAGGTGCATCCTGTGGCTGGCTTTTAATCTCTAATGTGTGAAACACTGGTAAAAAAATAAAAAAGCCATGACTTGAGCACCGAGTGGACAAGGAGACAGATAAGAGGGTTGCGATAAACAGACAGACAGCATCAACAAAACAACAGAAAACGTTGCTAAATAGTGACATTATTACACAACAGTGTATGATGCATTTTTGTTGCTGCTGTTGTGTTTTCTATGCTAACTAGCAAAGAGGCAAAGTATTTTTTGGAGAATTTCGGAGTGTTTAAAGTCGCAAACTTTTATGAGATACGTCGTTACGGAGCTCTGGGACAACATGTGCTGTTCGTGGTTTTATATATAACCGGACAAAACTAATGCAGTGGCTTAAACAGGAATGTTTTGAACACAAGCCTAAAACCAAATCGGAGTGTTCCTGCCAGCGATGGTACAGTTTCCATCGCCTCCCAGAAGACGACGAATAAAAAAGAATCTGGCTTAAGAACTTCAACTTAAAAAAGCCCCCCACGTTTGTGTGCTTGTTTCACTTTGCTGACAAGAAGCCAACACAGGATAACCCGTACCCAACGCTCTTTCTGGGTTACGAGAAGCCACCGGAGTAGAGACGGCGACCCAGGACTCGAAAGGTCACAACAACAACAACAGGTAACGTTAACACTAATGCAATGTCAACTAGCGTGCCATTTTTGTTTATACAGAGTTTTTTGGAAAACACCTTAACTATTCTTGAATTCCTTGTTAATAAAAGAAAAACTGTCTGCTATGGTGGGATAGACAGGTGGCCTGATATTTTTACCTCGCACCTGGCAGGTGCTAATTTCATTCCCTCTTTTTGTTAAATTTACAAAATATCTATTTCGAGAACATTAAACGCAGTCTATGTCTCTAGATGTTTGTATGCAAGTTAGATTATTGGCCAGAGTGCTGATTTGCTGTAAGAGAATAGTCTTAGAACAGCTACAAATAAGGCAAAGGCAAAGTGTTCAAAATGTTTTTAAATGTAGTAGTAGTTGTTGTTGTTATGCTTTTCTGTGTACTTCACAAATAATTTCATGATCTAAAAACCTGTGTTGTAAGGGGGAAAAACAGTAAGAGGTGAGATTGGCCTTAACCCCTTTAGTTTATTTACAATCAAAAAAAATAAGCTTTCAAGCTGATGTTAAATTAAGTGAAGATTGTTAATTTGTCAAAAGGTTCCTAGGTACATATCGAATATGCACCAACAGGCATTGGGGGAATCCATGTGCTATATTGGCTTGCAGTCTGCAAGGAAGAAGTGTGATGCAAATTTGCGACAATCAGCGTCAAGGGGTTAAGATGGTATCATTTCAGAGAACAATCTGAGCTATCACATAGATGAGGGAGGAGCGGGCTGGAATAGCAGAGGTAGTGCTGTATGGACCGGTCTGTGTGCGTGTGAGGCGCATGCTTCAGTTCAGTCACCAGGCATCTGTTCTACATGCGCAAACCTTGCACCGCACCACCTGTTTGTCTGATGATAGCAGACCAATCAGATCTGCTGTTAACCTGAACCTCATTACTCAGCAACAGACACTTACCCCCCACACACAGATCAGCAGCAGCATGCAGTTCGCTTGAATCCTCGAGTCAAAGCACGGCTCGTGTTTCAACAAGCCAGAAGTGTATACTATAAAGAGTACAACACCTGTGGCCTCAATTATAAAATGGATCAATTTGGATCTTAAGTATGACGTAGGCAGAAAGTATAAGCAGTTATTTATAAAACCTTACTTTGATGTGGAAATGATCTTATCTCCAAACAGAGTCTAGACTTCACCTACGTGATTTTCCAGCTGGTCAGGAAGGGGTATTGCAGTTTGGGACACATTTGCGTGCAAGCCTGTGGTGAACTTTGCATTAGCTTTATGAGCAACGTGACGGCAATTATCATTCTCAAGCAGGCACGTGCACAAATAGCTAAAGCACCTGCTCTTTTGGCCTCTGACTGGATAAGTGGCCTGTTTGCGAGACATTTACAACATTCACAGCCGGCTGCTGTAAAACCTCGAAGAAGAAGAAGAAGAGCCCCCTGCCCTTCCATCTTTGACCTCCCTTGTCGCATGAGCCACGTCCTCCTGACCTGCCTGGTAACGATAGTGTTTGCCCCAAGCCTCGGCATTGTTTGTCACTGTCTTGAAAATAAATCAAAGGACACACTGTGTCGCTCTGGTACAGTATTTGTCCCTTCCAAGTACAAGGCCTCCCTCCTCACCCACCAGTGCATTATTATTATTATTATTATCATAGAATATCATAGAATAATATTATTATTATCACTTCCATGTACATAAATGTATATTTTCATAGTTTAAATGCATCCTTCCATAGTTACTATCACACATATTTATAATATTTTATTTTTTCTGCTCACACTGAATACTCCCCATCTGTACGTTCTGTATTCTTTAGGATTGCTGCTCTTGTCATTATTTACTTTTATCTTCTTAGTGCTATACAGTATATTGTGTTTTAATACCTTCTGCGTGTAGCCATGTCACGAGATTTTCTCTCTTCTGGACGGTTCAGTGTTATTCGGTGCACCACATATGACAAATAAAAATGACTTTGACTTTGACTCTGCTTGGATATGTCACTTTGATGTTTTGTTGAGATCATAGATCCTTTACATGCTACCCAGAAGAAAAAAAACATGCTCAGCCAGTCTTGTTCACTGCTGCTGGGGGCTGTAAAGGTCTGAAAGGCCTAAGATGCTTTTCAGGTGATAAGGCCACATGACTGAATTTGGCCATCTTTATTATTCTGAACTTGTGTGTGTGTGTGTGTGTGTGTTAGCATACATACAGAATGTTTGTGTCTGAGAACACCAGATATCATCTGTGCCTGGAAGGCACTTGACAGTTGACACTCACTGAGACAGACCCAGCCTAGGAGGAGCTGCAGCCAGCTAAACATGACAGAGACAGGCACGCGTACACAACATTTGATATATGTGAATGTAATGTGCTTATGTATATATATATATATATATATATATATATATATATATATATATATATATATATATATATATATATATATATATATTGAAATATGCCCCTTTTTCACCTATATTTAGTTTTACCTGTCTTTGTTGAGCCTTGTTGTCCTAACTGTTTGTCTCTTATGCTCCTGTAACGTTAAATTGTTTTCGTAGTGTGTACACTGAGTGCCTAACTGTACCTGTACACATGCCAAATATAGTTGATTCGGATGTAGCCAAGTGCAAAAGTGTGGGCTAAAGGCCAAAACTAATTATATTCTAATATGAATCGTATGGCATGCCCCCTTTACAAATGCCCAAATGTTAGCTCATTTCAGTTTTAAGGCTATGTCAGTAGAGTATTTACTGACATGTTGCTCGATATATATTGGAAGACTCGTGTCTGCCACATAATAATGAACGTGACCCTAAAAAATATATCCTTTAACGTTACAAAGCATCCCGGGTCAGCGTATTCTCCCGACAATAGCCGGTATCAAGTAACGGAGAATTACTACGCCCGACTCCCGCTTGTGACTTTCAACATAAAGTAAAAATGGATACATGTCACAATTTTGGTGGATTTCACCCCATATCAAACACGACTGAATATGTCAAGTCAAGTTTATTTGTATATAGACTAAACGTACATAACGTTATGTCACATGGACATATGGGTGTTACGGGTCACCAGGGAAATTCCACGGACAGCTGTCGTGCAATAGCAAAACACTGAGAAAATAATTTGTTGTTAGGTAGCTATAACGTTAGATAAATCTAATAACAGGCTTAATGAGCTCTAATACTAACAGTCCGGGTTTTGTACCATTTGTAACATCCCTGGCTAGCATAAAGGTGAACACTATTCGTACCAGTTAGGTTAGCTTAACGTTTCTCTTTGATCTAACGTTAACCCACTGCACATCATGGCTTTGACTGGGGAAATGTGTTCGCATTCACCTCGCCTCAATGAAATGACACAGCTAATGCCGCAAAATAAACAGAAGTGATACATTGCAGATGATGGCTTTCATTTTGAATGTGAACATCCGGTCTTATCTCGGCTACCAGCGGTTAGCTTGCCGCTCCTCCACACAGACCTGATTTCCCTTTTGTACCGTAGCTTATAACGTTACCCAAACTCAGGTCCATCTGTCTTCGGGGGATACGCAGGGATTGTTTCGCGAACCAAAACATTTCCCCAGGGCATCTCCGGTCCTACCTGTGCTGATGAGCCTCCTGCCGTGGTTTTGACAGCCAGCCAGCACGGCGTCCCTTCTCAAATACATCCAGTCTGTGATCAGCGCCCGTAAACAACTGGCCTGCTGCTGCTCGGAGGAGACGTCATGTGACGCTGCTGCAGGAGCATCCTATGACTGCAGCCTGCATACAGATATGTTTATAGATTATTTTCAGAACCGAACATTTCTTCACTGGCTGACAAACCATTTTTGTCATTCATTGATTTCTTTTTGTGATACTGTAACGTTAGCTGTTCGGGAAGGTCATTATTATCTGGGAATATATTATTTGTTTATGTATTCTATTTTCCATCACAACTTAAGTGGTAAATGTATAAAATGGACTAAGAGTCTTGAAATAGTGGAGCATAGCAAATAAAAACTGCCACATCGCTTAAGTTCACTTAAAGTCAACACTGAATTTTGATTATGTTTACTGTCATAATTGTTGTCATTGGCTGATTTGCCTTTCCCCCATCAATATCTCTCTGATATATTAACATTAACAGTCCCATGAGGTTGTCTGACACTGCCAGTGTGTGAAGAACAGACATATAATTAGAGCGGTCCTGCTATAGGAGCATGGGGCACAGGGACCCTTGAACAGTATGTACCATTATCATGTCAGTGAGGTGTCAGGGATGATGAAACTGACGCGCACACACACACAAGCTACAAAGTGGGGTTGTGCAGAGTGCATCACAAACCCAGCGTGCTGGAATGGATTCATAAAGTCATGCATTTTAATGCATGGGTAAAGAGCTGAGATGTGCTGGAAAGTAGCCCCGGTTTCCCATCTCATCTTAGGTGGTGGAAGTTAATGACACAGCATTTTCAAAGGGGGAAACAAAGCAACTCAATTATTTAAATTAGAGTAATAAATATATATTTTAATATGAAATGTCCATTTTAATGTTTAATTTTAGTTTACATGTTAACTTCTTTCCATTGTGGTCCTTGTCAAGAGAGCCAAGATTCAGGATTCCAGGTTAGTCACTACACACAGCCACGATGATTGGCCAGGCCTTGAAAAGAGTGCCACCTGCAGATGCTGAAACAACACATAGTGATATTAGCACCAGTGATAAAGACCCAATGAAAAGAAAAGCACAGTACCATGCAATTATTTTTTATCAATATACAGTTTCACAGTTGTCTTTCAGGTCATATTGGTGGAGGAGAAGCCTTGTGATCTTCCTTCTGTCTGACCCCAGGGTCTGGTGTGAGGTCATCTTTATCACACAGACCTGGCATGTCTGCATTGGCTGGCAGTGTAGATAAAAAATAAAGAGAGAGAGAAAAAAAATAATAAAGAGGTTGTTTTAAGTTTTTCTAGTGACTTTTGAGCCAGTTTCTTCCAAGGCGGCACGTAGTATCATGCTCTTGGGGGTGAATAAAAATGGTAGGCACACAGAGACACTGAGAATTTCAATGGCAAACAAGCAGCATGTTTGTGAAGAGAACAACAATCTAAAGCCTCCAGGGAGGAAACACGCAGGCAAAGATAAGGAGGGACGGCTGAGCAGGAAAACAGCAAGCCTCGAAAGTGCTTACTTTGCACTGGTGCACACTCACATTTAGACACACACACACAGCCATTACTTTCTTTGTAACCAAAAGATGTTTTTATTAACACTTTTTATACATCCACAAAACTAATATACACAATAATTTGAGTTACATAAAATTTCACTTTAGAAAATAAAAAAGTGCAAATATCACAGTCTAAAAACTCACTTACTGGAGATGAAAGAAATGTTTTAACCAAATGTAGAGTAGTTAAATACTGCATTTTGGTCCATTTTGAAAATTACTTGACCATTATTACATTTTATGTGAATTATTGTGACTGAATGTCTGAATACGGTCTGGTTTAATAAAAAAAAATACATGCAGCTATTATCTTACAATGCATACATAATGCATATTAAATCTTGTTATTATGCACAATAGAGCAATACAAGACTCATTGAGGCTCTATAAGTCAATTTAAAAAAGTGCTACTTTAAAAGAGGTAAAACATTAGATCCAAAACAAAAGCTTACGCAGTACAAAAGTAAAACTAAAAAGCTTATCTAAGGTTCAAGGAGAGCTTCAATAATAATACATATATATATATAATTTTTCTTTACAAATAATACAAAGGAAATCACAGCACAGCAACCTGATATCATTTAACTCCCCCATGTTTCCCTATCTGGAATTAAAACTTATCCCCAGCTTACAATTTAAAATCTTAAATAAATTCTTTCCCTTCTACAACTAGACCCAGTCTAGGTTTTGTACAAATATAGGCTCCAGGCCTGTATTATGAGTTCCTGAGTGATGACGTTGTTGTTTCTCCACTGTCCCAAAGAAGAAAAATCAAATAATCAAGTTATCTGTTTTGGCTACAAAGTGGATGGAGTTGATTAAAATACTTCCAGCAAGGCGTTAATATTTCGCTAATTGACAGCCATTTGCTTTATGCTCATGAGTGCCATTTGTAGCTCAAAAAAAAAATATCAATGACTGCTAATAGACTTTCTAGGGGTAGAAATGCTGACCTCCCATTTTATCGTTACCTCGACAGTAATACTGAATTAGTGGGTCTGAACAGCACCAAGAGGTAAGTGACTGAAAGTCCGTTTGGTCTGTGAGGATATGATGATCGCTCATTGGTTTTTGGAGTCACTTTGAACTTGACTCTACAGCTGTGACAGACATAATTTCAATTTAGCAAACAGTGAATTTAGAGTGGCAGTCAATGGTGGTACATTTACTTTAAAATACTGTACATAGAATGCTTGCCTGCCGCAGCATTGTTTTTTTCCCCCCTCTACTGTACGTTTTCTTTTCAAAGGCCCATTTAACTCTTCTCCTGGGCCTGTAGCATGTGTTGTCTGGTAGATCCAGTGCTGGTGCTGCCTAGAATGGAGCCACCAGCATGTTTCCGCATCCAGTCCAGCATGTAGAACCGCAACATCAACAGGAAGCCTGGGGGAACAGACCAGAACCAAGGTTCAATGCTTTGCTTTCTTGAACTTCCACCTAAAAGCTCTCTGAATATTATTTAACTGTAGAATATTGTCACTTGTTTGATTTGATTTGAAACAAATGAACCTTCACTGTAAAGATGTGAGCTAAATAAAAAAAAAAAAAGTACTCCACTGGCCTTCTTAGCTGTCACAGGATGCTGGTATGTGTATCCAAAACAAAAGACTGAGAGCATTTCAGATACATTTAAGTTTTGCTCTGCTGATAAAGGAACAGTTTGCCAATAATCCCTGCTTTTCCAGGAAGTGGGCAACCCGCTCTACGCCGTGAGCCACAGAAAGTTTGGCTTTGCTTTAGATTTAGTTTTGGAATTTGCCATTGTTTTACACAACAATGCAGTTTTACTGCAATAAATAAGGCGCAGGTAACATAATGTCAAAATAGTGAATATGTGAAGATTTGTCTAAATAAGGTATTCAACATGTTGGCAAATACCTTTCTAGATGAGAAGATCTATACATCTCTTTCTCTCCATATCTGTGCACTAAATCTGTCAGCTAAAGCTGCAACCTGGCCAAGAAATAGTCCGGCACAGAACCCCAAATAAAACCACAACTTGTCATGTTCACTCATGTTTTTGTACAGATTAAACAGCCAAAACGTAATGTGGTAATTAGTGAGATTTAGACGTGCTGGCAGGTGGAGGTGTCTACAGGACAGAACCAGGCTAGCCGTTTTCCTGTTTCTAGTCTAGCTGAGCTAAGCTAGCCAGCTCCTGGCTGTAGTTTCATATTTAGCAGACATACATGAGAGCGATCGATCCCTTCATCTAACTGTCAACAAGGAAGCGAAGTGTATTTACCAACATGTCTAACTATTTCTTTACACATTATGTGTAAAATCCTTATCTGATGTAAAATTCTAATGAAACGACTGAACATAGGCCCATGTAATCTGTAGATGTAGGCCTATAGAGTAACATTAGTCATGGCACGTTAGCCAGTTGGTACAGAAAATGATCCCACTGAACCACCATTGTGCAGCAAAAATAGGGTTAATAAGTTGCATTTTTTGGACTTGAATCAAAAACAAGTACGCTGCATGTGAGAGGAAACAGCTTTTCTTCTGATAGGCACCAGTAACAGAAGGCCTTGATTAACCATGGCCATTGTCTCATTCCCACACTGATACAATGGGCCACTGGCTCAAAATACACAGCCACCAATCTGTGAGGCAACAATGAAAATAGCCCTGTCCAAAGACTTGCTACATGTAGGTGGCGATGATACATGTTGCTTGTTTTGGTTTGTTTAACGCCTTTTTTTCCCTTTGGACCAGTGTTTTTGGACCAAATGCCATATAAAGTCTGGTGACACCGTTTAATGCCTGAAAATGCCAGTCTCTCTCCCGTTGTAATAGTCCTGTGGTATGGCCACTTATTAATGAGAAAAAGAACAAACCTTCCACACAAGTTGACAGAAGCCCAAGCTCCTCATGAATATAACAACACAATATAAACTCCAAGTGCAATCTGGACTGACTGAAACCTGTGTGTGTACAGTAAACCACAAGCTCAGACCTTGAAAAGAGTTGAGGATGCAGAAGAGAAAGAGGACAACGTCAGAGAGAGGCCCAAAGTCCAGGAAGGCCAGACTCCAAGTTGTCCCAAACAGGCAGCTGAGGCCCCAGATGCTGAGAAAAGCCACACGATTCTGCCTCCATTCATCCCTGATGCGGATCTTCCTATAGACCAGGATGAGCATCACAACGCCAGAGGATACCAGGATGACCAGGGCTGTCACACTGGTGAAGTAGTGGGCCAGCAAGGCCTTTTTGGTATTTTTCATCCAGCACCTGGAAAAAAACGAATATACTCAGAGAAGGAAAAGCAAGTAACCTCAAAGAGAGACAAATAAGATGCCAAGTTTCCTGAAACATTACACCACTCCTCTGCTGTCACAACATGGGGTGTGTGACTTTGTGATTTACTGTGCTTGCTTTTATTTGTACATTATCTAGGCATCACTGCACAATGTTTCTCCACAGTAAATATCTTGGTCCAAATAATCCTGCTTACATCAGATAAGGACTGGACATGTCATCACTCGACTCCACCTCTCTCACTCCATAAATGTCACCTACTGCAGCCAGGATGACAACAGGAACAGCAGGGAGAACTGGAAAAGAATTTGCAAAGGTCATATGTTAATCTCATCTTTACTTCAAATGTACCATGAAGTCTTTTCTTTTTTTTTTGGAAATGTTGCTTCACACACTCACCGAAGCCGACCGGATTCCATACATAGGGCTTTGGGGAGGGGCTGAAAACCATG